CACGTTTGTTAACCTGCCGAGCCGCTAGTTCCGATTTTTTTAAATTGACATTTCCTACCCATAAAAGCTATAATGGAAAAAAAGATCATTTTAGAAGCTTTGTATGGACATGCACATTTCAGAGTATGGAAGTGGTTGTGCAAAACAGTACGTTCCAAAAGCCATTTGTGGACTTTTCCTGTAGTGCAGACAGCTTATAGACCCATAGTAATGCCGAACCATATTATGCTAAATCAATTTAATGGTTGCAGTGTGGACATGCAGGTGACACGGTTATGAGAACTGGATTAATTTCAAGGAAATGAGTGCTTTGAGAAAATGAAGAAAATTTATTCAGTAGATTTTCGAAACTGGATCCCCGGATCGTCGACAAGAGAGGCTCGTCTGCCAACAGTATAAGAAAGAAGTCATCTAAAAAATTTCATTTAAAGCTTGCGATACCGTGTATCAGGGCCAAACAGGAAGATCCGTCTCCACATGCATCCACGAGCACCGATTAGCCGTGAAGAGACGTGACCATTTGTCCGAAGTGGTTATCCATTGCCTTGACACAGGACATATTTTTGAATGGGACAAAACACACTTCGTCTGGGTTTGCCCCTCAAAATAGGGCGGGAATTTCTTGAGTTTCTTAATGATTCATAAATCAGCTGACGTCTTGAGTTGGCTGGAGCGTACAAACGTCTCAAAGAAAGATTGAAGAGACTACAGCCCGCCATTACCGACCAAAACGAACCACAATTAGCGCGCACAGTGGATGACAGTTGTCAATTAGCCATTACACTTTTTAGACTGGTAATTATGTCCATCACGGCGTTATACAAATTTCAGCTACTAATTAGTACCCACACTAGACGACTATATAACTGTAACAACAATTCGCCCAGCTGCTCAAGTCTGACGACCACATGGGGATCCAGTGTCGAAAATTTACGGAATAAAATTTCTCCCTTTTCCGAAAGAACGTCCTTCCTTGAAATTACATTTCTCGGGATGCCCACCCGCCAGTTTATACGAAATAGATTAATTTCACCCAATAAACAGAAGCATGCTTCTTTTTTTGAAAATAGACATGTTTGTAAACACACATACAGAGCAGGTGGCTTAAGCCAAATTTCGCAGGATTACAGTAGATACTACGGCAATCAATTTCAATGAAAACATTATTGTATCTTCTCCACTTTCACCTTTTAAATTTACATACATGTGGTACAAAAGTGGTTACCCAAATGCGCTTCATTGCCACCATCACTTATCTAGAGCTGTATTTCCTGCCCTCATCAAGATCTTTCCTGATTTCTTTGTAATTCTCTGCTACGTGAGCCGCATTTTTTGACAATTGGCCACATTGCCCCTTATAGCAGAGACCCTGAAACTGATTTCTTTATAACTCAATACTGAACTATCGAAAATCCGCTAAGCACCGGAGTTCGATGTGTGCTGACGGTAAAATTGCGATTCAACATGATTAATAATATTTTTTTGTAGGGATATTTATAAGGAACGTATTTTGTCGAGATTTTTATTTTTTCCTCATTACCTCTATATGCATTGGTTTTCAATCAGTGTGCATTTTCAAGAAAAAACAGTATTGCATGTCACTTGGAGCTCGTACGTGCTTCAGAAGTTCCCAATTGGCTTCCTTGAAAATGTTTCCGGATTCCAGGGTTGTGCTTTCTACACGGTCATGAAGTCTGTGGAATTTTGCAGGTTCCGTATTTCATACGTGCGCAAGAACACTTTGTCACTTCGAGCAACCTACTGACGTGTTCTTCAAAAGCCTCACCGTTCCTTGAAAGCAGAAGCAAACATTCGGTTTCTAGTTCAACTAAAGTGTTGTCAATCAGGCAGGAATATTTATGTAGGCAAAAATGAGTTTTTGTGATGAGTCAGATAGTCAGTTTAAATATAACTTCAAAGTTGACTATTAACTGAAAATTTTCCGAAAGATGTGTATGCTCGGTTAAAGGATCTTATCTAACTAAGCAGAAACTACATTTGAAAATAATTGAGAGGTCAAGTTAAGTTCGGTCCTCTAAACTGAGGTGAATAATCAAAACGCCACGGTTCTACCCAGAATAGTACATGGGTGTATTTTACGCTTAAATTGCAACTGCAAAAATGGTGGATGAGAGACATTTTGTTCACCTGGCCTCGACCGAGCAATGCGAAGCAAATGCCAAACCCCTGGGCGGAGAACGAATAACGGGACTGAGACTTATCCCATGGGTATTTTCGTGAGTCCGTTTCTCAAATACGTTAGATTTTTTTTCAAAGCGACCAAACGTCACTTTGGATAAAAAAACCTATAGAAACAGAACTCAAATTGGCGGTTGGCGTTATCTGTCGAGAGGGAATACCTACCGTGTATATGGCTAGGTGAAACTAGCATGTTCAGGTGACCTTCCCGTGATGCACTTTGTATGGGAACATTAAATGGACATCCGCAGAACTTGCACAGTCCGCGCAGTTTTTGTATTTTTCTTAAAGCATTTTCAGCTTTCGGCCATATCGCAGACACGAATGAATGAAAACGTTCGCGTTCCAGGTATTTGCATAAGTGTGGAAAAAGGGTTGTGGAGCACCAGATCAATTTATTTAATGTTCAGAGATTTCGGGCTCTTGCTGGAGTCCGTCGTCATAAGGAAAAGCGTCCACGAAAAACAAGTAACAGTTATAGGGAGCAAAGGCCGATCAATCGTTATGCAGGGGAGGAGAAAGGAACTCAGTAATCACCAGTGTCGGCCCTGCCAATATGCCTGCGGAGAGTGATGTATGCCGGCGCCACATCGGTAGATCAATTGACTGAATTCTCATCCGAGGCCTAGGCTTCAATCAATTATCGGCCTGTCTTGGCACCGACGTGGGCGATTATATCTACAGCTGCGAAGTTTAACTCGGGACCTGTTTCGTAGGTGTGGGCCGTCACTTGCGACAAAGCATTACCCAGT